ATATCCTTGTAGCATCATCTAGACATCAAATGCATCAGAAGCCAACAGCAGGCCCGCTGTGGCTGAGAAGAAGGAGAGGGAGGAAACAACCTTACTGCCAAAATGCTCTCTGGCTGGGTGATGTCTTCATCCTGCAGGGACAAGGAGAAAAGTGCAGGATTACAAATACTCAAGAGTCAAGAGACTGATCACAAAAGTATCAGCGTAGTTATCTGTGTCCAACAATAAACAGAAACCTGAAGAAAAACAAAAGGGTGAACATAAGGTGCCATAGGGGTTTTTTTTGCCACGATGGAGGTGGACATCAAGAGTGCACCTTCTGCTAACCTCTTGCGACCTCTGAGCAACAAAGGTAAACTCAGATTTATTGCATTCTGCCATAGCTCCGTATGTGGCACCTCCAGTCCCCCACCCCACAGGGTCAGGGCAATGTCATACAAACCTTTGGTTAGGCTCCTAATTAGGCCTTCATTGTTTACACATGGTGCCCTTTAGTCTTCTGGTATGGGTACCAAGGTGGTCCATTCCAACCCCCCACCCCTGTTGGTCCCGTTCGAAGTCTTCCCCTTACTGGGTCTGGGGCCCCTCCCTTCACAAAGGGCCCTCCCAGACCCATCCTTTTTGTCCCATGACTACAAGCCAACTTGGCATTCCCATTGCTGACGTCTCTTCTGGGTGGGTGGGGGCAGATGCTGCTTGCCCTGAATCAGCTGCCTTTGCTGTAAAGCAGTTTCTGCCTTTGGCAGATGATCCCACTGAGACGTCTCTGAAAAGGTACCTGCTGTCCTTCCTGGATGGCCACGATGCCTCAATCTCAGGCTCCTCTGACTCACTGCCCTTTGTATCCTCCTGCTCTCTCCCTCCTGGAAATTAGGAACTCCTCCTTTTAAAGCCTCAACCCTACCTCACTTTAAGAGGGCCAGCCATGTCTTCTCTGCATGTTTCCCTGCACGTCACCCCCATGGAGGTGGCCTCTTCAGTGGGCCCTCTTTAAAGCTCTGAAATGAGATTGTCACCTGCAGCAGAGGTTTCTCCCCTCTCCTTACTCCCATCCTCAGCATCTTCTCCTTGCAACCCTAGCATGTGCTCCTGGCATGCTTCAGCTGAGCTCACTGGTGCTGGATCCTCTCTCCCCAAGTCCTCCTTAAATATATGAATTGGCCCAAAGTTTGCAATGCCGTAAGTAATCTTCTTCTTCTTCTTCTTCTTCTTCTTCTTCTTCTTCTTCTTCTTCTTCTTCTTCTTCTTCTTCTTCTTCTTCTTCTTTCTTCTTCTTCTTCTTCTTCTTCTGCTGTGCATTGTTAAACAGAGAGGGTTTTAATACCCTGCCCCACTCTCCTTTGCACACTCTGCCAGGGAGATGCTTGCAGCCCATGGCTAATGGTGTATGTTTTGAAGCGGCAGGAGCTACTGTCATGGTTCCCATCTGGTTGGCCTTCTTGACTCCATCACACCAGAACAATCTGCCTTTGCAGGTCTTCGTAACAACAGGAGCAGCTTTAGCAATTCCCTAGAAGGCTGCAGTGGTGCCTTTTGCTTTCCGGATTCTACACCTGAGTCATTCCAACTTTCTTGCCTGGACATCCTCAAGAAGTCGGGACAAAAATGTTGCAAAGTACTTGGATACTCACCCGAGACCAAATGCGCAACCACAGTTCTCTGGAGACAGACTCCACAAACCGAGGCTCTGTTAAATCCACAGCTGTGACGAACCGCATCGCGGCTAGAGAACCTGCATTTGGTAAAGACGAACACACAAAGAACCCCAGAGTTTGCACAAAGGTCAGTTGAAAAAGAGCCCTATTACTGCAAAACACCAAGGTGTGTGTGTGAGAGTGCCCGTGTGTGCTCACAGATGCAAACACATGCACCACCAATGTTCGGAAGAGCTTTTATTGGATGACAACATGGCCACACAACAACCACTGTCAACATCTCTGCCAAGCTGCTAATTTTTGCATTGCCATTCCACTCCCCTGAACACCTCAGCAAAGTGTGTAAAATATCTTCCTTCTAAAGCTGCGTTACACGCCTCTCTCTGATGAAGTGCATCACTATCCACCAAAACCTATAATGATGCAAAATGTTCTAATCTTTACGGTGTTCTTGAAGGAGAAATTAGATGTGATCAGACCTTCAGCACTTTTTAGAGAA